GCATATTGAGACTATAAGAATATTGAATATCTTCAGATTTCTATAATCATAACGGGTAAATATGAAAGGTTACCCGATTTTCTTTCTATTTGTATTACACAAATACAAGCATGATGATGGAATTATATGTCACAAGTAAACTGGAGGTTTACTGAAACAAATATTAGTTGGCATGACCGGTTGACCATCCCGGTTCAATTATGATGCGAAAATTAATTGAGAATTACATTGACATATATTGAAGAAATAGAAGATTTTTCAAGAATTCTCTTGTGCTGCTTATTCTCATGATATACCAATTAAGGTTGGGATTGAATCCCTTGATTTCTGGAATAAATAAAAGGTGATAAATATATGGGTCCGGTCACATGCCATTTGGACCATTTACTATTATATGATTTTAATAGATGCGTATATTCAATGGTCACATGTGCATTTGTTATCAACTTGTATTAACTACTGCCACCCGGATCTGGAGTTACCATTCACGAACATTCTAGAATTTACGACAAGTAATAGTCTCAAAGAAATACAACTGTCTGAATGAAAGAAAACAGTATGACATAAAAGATAGACGGGGACTTCAAGGTCTCTGAACGCCGACACATCTACCTTGAGTCTCCGGACAGCGGACCAGTAGCAAATCTTGATCAACCTGAGCCGGTATCAAAATCTGCATAGAAAGTGCAAAGTGCAGCATCAGTACAACCGACCCCATGTACTAGTAAGTGTCGAGCCTAACTTCTGCGAAGTAGTGACGAGGCTAGGACAAGACACCCACATATAACCTGAATAGTATAATCATGCTAGTGGCAACGACAGTAAATAAAGCAATAACGCATAAATAATGGAAAGGGAACATACAGTAGGGGAATACAACATAAAGAGTGAGAATAATGAAAAGACACAATTAAACAGAAAATACTTAAACGAATTGAGCAATTTAAACAACAAGGAAAACTGTACGACATCACCCTTCGTGCTTTATACTCTTCCTCACAATATAATTAAATTATGCACGGCATCACCCTTCGTGCTTTATACTCTTCCTCACAATTCACAAATTCCATAACCACAGATTGAGAAAAGTTTCACAAGAAATCAATATTCACAATTTTATCGACCTTGGTGGAACCGGATACAAGTCTCCCAACATTTTAACAACAACAATAAGCATGGATAACAAGATTTAAGACTACAAATTTGCAAGAAATGAAATTTCACTCGCATGCTATGACTCGACCACAACGTATAGATGCTCGTCACCTCAACCATACGTCGTATTCAACAACAAAACACGTAGTAAATACTCACACAATACTTATTCCCTCAAGCCAAAGTTAGACACAACACTTACCTCGCTCCGAAGGCCACTTAATTCTCAATCACAATTTTTTCTTTGGAATTCCCCTCTAAGCCACTCATATTTTTTCAAAAAAGACTCATTCATATCAAATATTGCTAAAGGAATCGATTATATTTCATAAATTAAATTTCCAAAATTTTCCTCCAAAAAGTCAAAAAAATAAAATAAAATATTGACCCCGGGCCCGCTTGGTCAAAACCCGAGGTTCGGACCAAAATCCTCTTACCCATTCACCCCCGAGCCCGAATATGTAATTAGTTTTAGAATCTGACCCCGAATTGAGGTCTAAATCCCCAAATTGCTGAAATCTCTAGTTTCTACCCTAACCCCTAATTCTACCATGAAACTCTAGATTTTAGGTTGAATTCTAGTAAAATAAAGTAAAAGATTGAAAGAAACGAGTTAAGAAACACTTACCTATGATTTGGGGAAGAAAATGTCTTTGAAAAAATGCCCTAGGCCTCCTATCCTTTTGAAAACGAGAAGAAAAATGGCTGGAGTCCGAATTAAATGCTCACTGCCCAGCGACCTTCGCACCTGCGCATCCGCATGTGCGGGCACACCAGATTTGGTGCACCAGCAGCCTTGTTGAGGTTTGAACTCAACCCGCGCATCGCCCGAATGGCACCCGAGGCCTCGAGGTTACAAACAAAACATGCGCGCAAGTCTAAAAACATCATACGGACCTGCTCGCGTGATCAAATCGCAAAAATAACACCTAGAACTCTAAATTTAGCACCAAATCAAATGAAATTCTCAAGAACACTTTAAAAATTCTTATACGTATTGAAACAATCAGGGCGCATGTGGTATAATCGCCTGAGTGAGTACTTGTTGAAAGAAGGGTACAAGAATGATTCAATTTGTCCTTGTGTCTTTATAAAAAGATCTGGATCTAAATTTGTTATAATCACCATACATGTTGATGATTTAAATATCATTGGAACTTTTAGGGAGTTTCCTAAAGTAGTAGACTATTTAAAAAAAGAATTTGAAATAAAAGATCTTGGAAAGACAAAATTTTATCTTGGTCTACAAATTGAGTATATGAAAGATGAAATTTTTGTCCATCAATCAGCATACACTAAAAAGATTTTAAAGCGATTTTATATGGATAAATCACATCCATTGAGTATCCCGATGATTGTGAGATCACTCGATATAAATAAAGATCAATTCCGACCTCATAAAAATAATGAAGAGTTTCTTGACCCCAAAGTACTATATCTTAGTGCAATTAGTGCACTAATGTATCTTTCTAACATTACAAGGTCTAACATAACTTTTTTAGTTAATGTCTTAACAAGATATAACTCTGCTCATACAAGGAGACATTGGAATGGAATCAAATACATATTGCGATATTTAAAAGGGACTACTGATATGAGATTATTTTATAGCAATGATTATAGTCCCGATCTTGTTGGTTACGCCGATGCTAGCTATTTATCTTACCCACAGAAGGCTCGATCTCAAACAGGCTATGTGTTTACATATGGAGGCACTGTCATATCTTGATGATCGACTAAGCAATCAATCGTGGCTACTTCATCTAATCATGCTGAGATAATTGCTATTCATGAAGTAAGTCGAGAATGTGTATGGTTGAGGTCTATAATACATTTTATTCGAGGCAAATATGGTTTGAAGTGTGACAAACTACCCACAATTTTGTATGAAGACAATGCAGCATGCATAACCCAATTGAAGGGAGGATTCATAAAAAAGGGATATGACAAAGCACATTTCACCAAAGTTATTTTTCACACATGATTTAAAAAAAAAGAGTTATATCAATGTGCAACAGATCCGTTCAAGTGATAATATTGCTGATTTGTTCACCAAATCTCTACCGACGTCAACCTTCAAGAAACTAGTGTACACGATTGGGATGTGAAGGCTCAATGATGTGAATTGATACTCTCATCAAGGGGAGTTAATACGCGTTGTACTCTTTTTTCCTTATAAGGTTTTGTCCCATTGGATTTTCCTTGCAAGGTTTTTAACGAGGCAACCAAAAGGCGTATTTCTAAACATGTGTACTCTTTTTCCTTCACTAGGATTTTTTCCCTTAGGGTTTTTTCATAATAAGATTTTAACGAGGCACATTATCTATGGACATCCAAGGTGGAGTGTTATAAGAAAAATCAAATTATGGTGGATGTGTACTCTTCCTCCACGATCTTCTCAAATGCTTAATGACATATTCAATGACATATTTCTATGCTTAATGACATATTCAATGACATATTTTTCTTCACTTTTCATGGCTATATAAAAGCCTTGTAATAGATAGGAAAATACACACAATTGAAGAATAAATAAGAATCTCTCATCTCTTTCTCTCTATGTCTCTTAGTTTGTTTTTCCTTATTCTATATTATTACTTTGAGCTATATTTCATAACAGTTAATTTTTTCCGCTTAACCAATCCTAATCACTTCAAAACTCCAAGATAAGACATAAGCCTTTGTCTTTTCTTTTTTCTTTTTTTCCCCCTTCTTTTGCTTCAATTCACAAACCAACATTATTGTGTAAAAATGACACGAGCAAATACTGACTCGAATACAAAGTTAGTGAGCTTTGATTTACATACTCAGAGGTCCGATATGTAATATTTGTTAGTTGTGAAAGAACTGATTCTGAAAATTAATTGAAAATAATTTTGAATCGAATTTAAATGTCTCTGTTTCAATTTATGTGGTGGTGTTCGAATTTTTATAAGTCAATTTATTTTTCTTTAGTCGTAATTTTTTTGTATGTCTTTTAAATATTTCAAATTATTAATTATTGTGACTTATAATATTTTTTAAAGGGATGTTTTTCAAATATGTAACTTATATTTCAAAATTTTATAAAATTTATGTTCGAATTCATAGTCAAAATTAAAAAGTTTGACTATAAAAATCTAAACTATGCCACGTAAATTAGGATAAAAGGAATAATAGATTGTGCTTGAGTTAGCTTGCCCGTTTTCTGTGAACAAATAATACTCTATTCAAAATGCGACAATTTTGCCTCTTACATGTTGGTTTTCGTCAAAAAGTGCCCTCGCACTCTAGGAGAGTATTTTTGAGCTACCTGGTTAATGATAACACACATTTGGACAAATAAATGACGCATAGGGCAAAATTTTCCAATTTTGAATAGTTCAGCAGCGAAATTATAGCTTGTTTGACCAAGTTTTATTTTGGGCCAAAAGTTCTTTTGGCAAAAAAATGAGTTGTCTGGCTGGACTTTTAGAAGGAAAAAATTATTTTTGAGTAGAAGTAAAATCAAATTTTGAGAAAACAGAAAAATATAGCTTTTCTCCAAAAATACTTTTGAGAAAAATACACTTAGAAACGGTTTTCAAAAGGTTGACCAAACACTAATTACTGCTTAAAAATACTTTTTAAATTAATTAACCAAACACAAATTGTTTCTCAACAAAATTACTTTTTTGAAAAGCAATTTTTTAAAAAGTATTTACCAAAATAAATAAATTTTAAAAGTTTGACCAAACAAACTATTAATCTTGTTATCTCAACATTAGTTTATATCAGTAATGAGTTATAATGCATTAAACTCAAAAATTGTGGAACAAGCAGAAAACATCTTAGAAGAGAAGTTTACAAATTTGTATAACGAAAACAAAATTACTCGAGAGTCTAGTATAGGAGTGCTGGGCGGGAAAATGAAGCGTCTCACGAGTATCGAGGGGGAAAAAAGTGAATTTTGAAGCCAGCTTCGTTCGCTTATTTTGCTCTCTTCACTGTGTCGCAACTCTTTCATCCTAACTAGCAGCTATTCATTAAAACCCTACAAATTCAAAAAAGCAGAATCCCCAAAATGGTGGTTGCCGAGCTTTCCGATCACAACAATGACTGCACGGAAGTGGTGGTCCCAAGACGTTGCAGTGCTAGAATCAAGACTTTGCAGAGTCAACAGGAAGCTCAGCGAACACGGTGCCGCTCCAACGACGACCCAGCTCTTGAGAAGAAAGCAAAGGCTCATAAGGCGAGAAAGGCGGATACTCCCGCTATGACACCACAAGCTATTGATAATGACATCACGGGGACCAATCCGCCAAATGACTGCACCTACGATAATCATCATCCTGTTGCTGAAGCCTCCCAGAGTCAGAGTCCCCATCTTAACGGGGACGGGACTGAGAAAAGTGCGCATCTAAGGGTAACAGAGACTGTTCGGAGATTTAACAAGCATTATCTCCATCTCGTTCAGGTACATTTCATAAAAACATGAGAGGAATCAGCTTTAAAGCATCTCTCTCTCTCTCTCTCTCTCTCTCTCTCTCTCTCTCTCTCATGTGCTAATGATTTTCTTGACCATGGTCAGGAAGAGGAGATAAGGTGTAGAAGAGTTCAAGATGAACAGAAAACAAAGAAGCATTCAAAATCTAAGGTCAGCCCTCCCCCGACCCTGCTTAGTTAAATTAGAAAAGTACAGTAGGTAGTTAGAACCAGGATACATATCAACATACAACTTCAGTATCATCCTATTCTCTCTTTGCGCTCAAATTTTGTTTTAGTCGTTTGTCCTTTTAGTGCTCCTTTACTCATATTTGATTTATGATTTCAATCAATAAATTTTCAGTTTTTCTGATTATCCTCATCGTCATTTAAATTGCAGACTCACCTTAAAATTGGTGGATGTTTATTCCATGCACACTTTACATCTTGAGTTTGTTCACCCTGTATGCCCCAACACTCCCTCAAGCACTCATTATGCATTATATGGTTTGTTTTTTTACCTCTCAAAAGTCAAAACATTCTTGTAAAATTTCCTTTATAAATATTTAACAATAACTTATGTTGTTATCCTATCATAACAAAATTTGGCGACTTAGAATTTTTTTATGTACATATCCCAGGAAAATTGATTTTTATGTACACATAGTATACCATATTAAATGGCTATTTTCTTATTAGAAATTCATTTATGTACAGAAGTTATACAAATTTAATCTTTCATATTTGAATCTATTGTTAAAAATGTGAAGTCCGGGACTTATGCCTATGCTTAGGAGCTAACATTAAGTAAAATAGCCTGTTATGTGTCTTTGCTTTTCAAACAATGATGTTCATCTCCATGCGCCTTAATTTTTGTTATATTTTTATTATGATGGTAGTCCTTGACCTCTTCATTTTGGATAAAATAAGCAAAACATGGTAGTCCTTAACGTTTTTCGCTTTGTAAATTGTAACACATATGTGCAGGAAGCTGAAGATGATGGTAAACGCAGTTCCAAGCGCCCTGATCTAAAAGCGATTTCTAAGGCATGTATTGCGTCATAAGTTCATCCTGGTCGTGTTAATACCCTTATTTGCCTTAATGTGGATACTTCATAAAAGATTTGAGGCTCTGTTGAGTAGTTCTACTCTAGTACTACTGATTCTTAACGAGAAAAGCTTGCAGATGATATTGGCAAAGGAGGTTTTGAATTCTGAGAAAATTGGCTCCATTCCAGGTTGTTTGTCTACTCTTGTCATGCAAATATACGTTTCATTATATGATTGATTTAGCAAATGATGGCCATTTGTGTATGGTTGAGAATTATAAGTCTCCACTTGCTTTTCTCAGAAAAACAACTTCCTGCTTCTAGAAGCTTACTTTCTATTTGAATTTTAGGTAATATCATAAGATTTTATGCTTATTAATCACTTAATACCTCTTAACATATATTTTTATTTTACGTTGAATAGAGCTTCATTTCATATTTAATTTCTAGATAAAGGTTAGCAATTGCAATAATATTAATCCACATAGTTTTGCTTTGGTGGCTCTCAAATTTTAATGTTAATTACTTTCACCCATCAAATAATAGCCTTAACTTCCCTTTCCGATTAGTTCCAACATAGTTCCTACCTTGCATGGTATAAAATTTTTACGTGAACCTCTTTTACTCTTATCAATGCAACCTAAAGAGAACTTAATTAATTCTCTTAGTTTCCTCTTCTCTCACTTGGATTTTCACATGTATAAAGAGGCTCTATGATGATGGTAGGGACTTAATTAGCTTTTGCCTAACAATGATTGGCCTTTTCCTTAAAGTTTTTTCTTCTTGTCATAGTTTTTCTATTCCTTATAATTTTGGTGATTGTTCCTGCTATATTACTATTTCTTTGGCGATTGTTCTAATGGCAACTTATTTGAGCAACTTGAGTTTAAGGGAGCTTGTTCAAAGTCAATACAGATATTGACTTAGTAAATATGTCAGTACATGCACCATTGTTTTCTATTTATTGTGTTTACACATGTATTTGCATTTAATACTATATTGTACTCTTGGCTTGAGGGTTTGAGGTTATGAAGTTTACCATATCACCCAAAATTAAAAAACAAGAAAAGAAAAACCAAATTTGTTCTCTCCTTCTCTATCAGATTTCATGGACCCAACATGGTCTCTCAACATGTATTAAACAAATCTAATTTCTTGCGTTTGGGTCAATCCGGTACAGTGAATGCAGAGGAAGAGTGTCTTAAGTTTGATAATGTGATTTACAGATTTTTCTTGCAGCATGTAACTTTTCTCTTTTGCATGAAATGCAATAGAAATTGATTTACCATCTGGCTTTTCAAACAAAGTAAATGTTTGCATTTTGACCAAACGTACACATCTATGGCATACTTTGGCTATAGAAAATGAGAACTTTGATGATGATGAATGGGCTAACAAGCTTCTAACATAGCACATCTAGAGATTAGACCTTTAACTTATGTGTCAAGTAACTTCTAGAAGCCTGCATAACATTAATATTGGTCCTTGTCCTTTACGTTTGAAAATCCAATCAATCTATATGGTTTAATGGTATGTTCTCGCATCCAATTATGTTTTGGGTGGCTACATTTGTTTTTGAGAATTATAGGTTTAAGTTTATTGTGGCAGGCATTGATGTTGGTCATCAATTCTTTTCGCGTGCGGAGATGGTCGTTGTTGGATTCCATAACCATTGGCTAAACGGCATTGATTATGTTGGCCAAACTGCTGGGAAAAAAGGGGTATACAATTGGCCTTTGAGTTTGAGAAACAGTTGACTAGCAAAGAATTTCATTCTTGAATTACATATATTCTTCCTTGCTCTACCTAGAATAGTGAATACTGTTTGCTTTTCATTTCTTCTTATAACTCATTTTCCTCCAAATGTCACGAGAATTTCTTTTTACTCAACATTTATGGGCGTAATTTCAAAACAAACATATTCAAGGATGTTGTGGTGGTGCCTTGGAGAAAGAAGATAAGTTGTGTCATGAAGGATGTCGGTTATCTGGTTCATTGTTAGAGAAATTTTGATCCTTCATGATCACAGTCCTTTACTGCCTAGTCTGTTTTTGCAGTTAGACATTCTAGAGGTCTTTTTTTTTTTTTGGTTAAAACTTGTGTTGCCGCCTGTTGAAATATGACCCCTTCACATCATATAGGAGTACAGAGGCTACAGATTGCCCCTTGCTGTATCTATTGTCCTATCAGGACAGTATGAGGACGACCAGGACAACTATGAAGAGGTTGTCTATACTGGTCAAGGTGGAAATGATCTACTTGGTAACAAGCGCCAAATAAAGGATCAAGTCATGGAACGGGGTAATCTAGGGCTCAAGGTTCGCAATTTTTCTTCTTTCTTTGAAGCTATTTTTGTTAGTATCACTTCATTTATTCTGAATTTAATATATTATGCTCTGTCATGGGCTTGTGACAGGTTAACTGACAATCCCAGTTTATGCAACTCTGCTTTCATTTACCGTTCCATTCCTATAGAAATATGACTTGCAATTTTATACTTTGATGTGTTATTTCTCTATCTAACTAATTTTTTCAACCACTACATTAGTTTTTTCTTCTATTTTGTTTAATATAAGTCAGATTTAACATCTTAATCCGTGCCAAGACAAATACCTGTTTTATAAAATGGAAAAAAGGCAGTAACTTTATGAATTGAAAGAAAGACTCATTTTATGCTCTCTATGGTTTCTCAAGCATAAAAATCTTGACAACCAAGGTTCAAAGGGAGACTTTTAGAGAAAGGGGCATGTTGTTCTCTCTTGTCTGGTGAACTGAGTCTCTTACATTGCATGAGTTCAATGTATGTGTTTAGTGTGGGAAATAAGAAATGTTTGCCCGCTTTAATTTCTTTCGCTTTAGAGACAATGATAGAAACGTGAAATAGTTTTGTTATAAAATCAATTATTATAACTTCTTTGGAGTAAGTCAATTATTAAACGCTTGATGTCCTACTATCTTGTTTGTCAGACAGGTTTCATGTCGTTTTCTTTGCTGTCAATTCTTTTGTCTAACAATGAAGAATAAGCTAAGTGGGGGAAGAGTGGAATAGTGGTATTTACCTGAATAAGCAGTGAGAAAGATACCCAATTGTAAATTGTGTATTGTGGAGGTTTTTGGTTGGGATTGTGGAAAAAAACATTTGAACAAGGGAATTTTATTTTTTTTGAATTAACATCAAGGGTAACAAATAAGCAGAGATGAAAACCCAAAGCTTGGAAATATTTTATCAGCAGTAACTTTTCCAGTGAGATTTTGGTGATCTTGTTCTGATATTTTAATAAGCAATAAGCAACTCTAGGTGATTTTCCTTTCCCACATTTAGCTGGTGAAAATATTTCTAAAGAGGCATGATTAAGAGCCCGTTTGGACATAAGAAATTTTTCCTTTTTTTCCAAAAAAAAATCACTTTTTTTTTGAAATCAGCGTTTGTTCATAAAATTTCCAATTTTCACTTGAAAATGCATTTTGGAAATTTTTGAAAATTTGAAAAACTCCAAAAAGTTATTTTTCAAAATTTTCACTCAATCAGTCACAACTTCAAAAACAACCCAAAATTATATTCATGTCCAAACATAACTCTAAATTTCAAATACCATTTTCACTTGAAAATTTTTTCCCCCTATTTTGGAATTTTACGATTCTTATGTCCAAACGCCCACTAAAATACGATACTAGTACATTGGTGAAATTCATGATTTCGATGAAGCCATTTATATAGTAGCACATATTGTTCTATCTGTTCATATTGTTCATGCTGTGGTGTTTTGCGGATAATGTTTCAGCTCTTTAGGATTTGATTGGTATTTTTTGGCACTTATCTATGTTTTTATATTGTAAAATCTTCATGACTAATGATGTTTTGCTTTTTTGAATGTTTAGTTTAATTTCTTTTCTTTTTGATAGTTAATATTGTGGTGCTTATTGTTTTTTTGAAGTCTTTAGGAGTGGTCAAGTTGTTTGTCTACATGACTTGCTCTCTATTTGCAGAATTGTATGGAGCAATCTGTCCCTGTTAGGGTTACACGTGGACATCGGTGTGTGAATAGTTACGTTGGAAAGGTTTACACCTATGACGGCTTGTATAGGGTAATCAATTTCCTCATCTTTGAATCCCGAAAGATTTCTTTCTGAATAGATGCAGAATGTGCTTGTAAAAGTTGAGACATATTTCTATTTGTTGATACGAGGTTTGTCATTCAGAGCTTCCCATCTTTGTTCTATCTTTAGCATTAGTTTAAATGGGTTGTTTTTAGAGTTAGTATGTATGTAAACAGCTGTTGCTAGCTGCTAGCAACACAACAGTAACCAAATAGGAGAATATGAAAGCAACATTCAATCAACATCTGGATGTGTGAGTGTTGGCTATGTAGGGTGATTTGAGTGGTTTACTGTTGGTGAATATGTGCTTAATCTCGTGATATTGGACCATTTAATCTGGTCAGATGTGGATTCTGACCGTGACATGTTTAGTTATGTAGGACTGACCAATCTACCTGATATTTCTCTTAATGGCTAAATGGCCATCAAATTGAAAAGGAAAAGCGCTGAAAAAAAGTAAAGAATATAAATCAGCAATGTCATTTTTTAGCCTTCTGTTGTTTGTGCCAGTCAATTTTTACTTTCTTCAAAATTATGGTGGTGAAGATTTGGGTGCTGTTCAAATGTTAAAACATGGATATATTCAAGTATTAAGTCAAATTAGCTTTGTTTTGCAGGTTGTAAATTACTGGGCAGAGAAGGGTATTTCTGGATTCACCGTTTTTAAATACCGATTAAAGCGTATCGAGGGACAACCTGTGTTAACCACCAACCAGGTTTCTTTCCTTTTTTAACTTCACTTCTTTTGCTGTGGTATTTTATGCTTTAATTTTAAGCTTTTGTTCATGTGCCAAAATATTAAATGTCCTTTTGCACTCTTTGGTTTTCTATCTTGGAGTTTGGGGACTGAAAAATAACGAATCTCTTATATTTTAAGGTAGAAACTTCGAATTTGTAATTTCACTGATGAGTAGATACCTATGTTTCTTGAATTTGTTGTCCAAAAAGTTCAAGCAGTTTGTTTCTTGAAAGTCTTTCTTCTCTAGATCTTCACTCGTTTTACATTGTCTTTGTGTCACTTCTAAAGTTACCTCCAAATTCAAAGCTTTCACGTGGTTTTGAATTCATAGTAGGCTACACACCTTTGATTTCTTCTAATTAGGGGCAAAAGAATCTATTTCTCCTAATGGATGTTTAATATCAAGAAATTTTGAGCATACTCCTTTTTGCAATTTTGGAGAAACAAAGCTCCCTGGGCCTAGCTCAAGTGGCAAAGGGTGGTGGATTTGTGTCTTAAGTCACAGGTTCAAGCCCCCACACCATGCAAAGCAAAGCCTGGTATTTAAGTGGAGAAGGGTAGAGGGGCGTGCCCATTATCCACCGAGTTTCGAAGGCTGCGGTTGGTCCAAAGGATCGGCCACAGACGGATTTCTCGATCATCAAAATTTTTTTTTTTTTGGAGAAACAAACCAAATGATGTGTTACTAGTTCCGGTTTAACTTATACGAGAATGTGTGTAATATTTTTTACGGAATAAAATGTAGATTAAGAATACAAGAATTAGCTCTAAGGGCCTGTTTGGCCATAAAAAAGGATTCCTTTTTTTGATTTTTTTTCACTTTTTTTTTTAAAATCAGCGATTGGCCATAAAAAATTTAATTTTTCACTTGAAGTTGAATTTCGGAATTTTCCGGAATTTGAAAAACTCCAAAAAATTATTTTTCAAAATTTTCACTTCAAAGCACTCACAAAAATTCAAAAACAGCTCCATATTGTATTCATGTCCAAACACGACTCTAATTTTCAAATACCATTTTCAACTTGAATTTTTCCCCCACTTTTTTCAGAATTTCACAATTCTTGTGTCCAAACGCCCACTAAGTAGATAAGAGTATGTGAAGACAAAGGTGCCCTTAAATTAGGCAATCCTTCCATGTGTTACTATTTACAGCATAACAATCCCATGCATTATTATTCAATGCGTAGCAATTCCTGTATTATTATGCACCGCATAAACAATCCTCGCATTATAATTTCTGCATAACTAGACCGTAAACCAACTATCCCTAAATGTTGCAAGGTGATATTTGTTGTTTTGAGTGTTGGTTAAATGAATAATATATAATAAAATAATATTTCTAATGGTTGTAGGGCAAAAGCACCACTTTCTAATTTAGTAGCAACTTTATATGACACTTGTTATGTGGTTGCTCCTTTCCTTTATGTACTTTCTTCAAAATATTTCCTTTATATACTATCTATGTAGCTGCTTTTTTCTTTATTTGCAGTAAGATGCAGTGGGATTTGCGAGCAACTCTTAGTTTGTGCTTTACTTGTTTCATAACTTCTGATATCGCTTATTGAACTTACAACTCATGGGCATTTTGGTTTACTGTCCCCAAATTCTCTTTTGTGCGCTGCTTCTCTTTAGCTTTGGGATTGCATCCGTCCCTAGAGCTTTAGTGCCTAGATGCCTCTTTCTTTTGGAAGACAGTAGAAGCTTATTATAGATTACCAGTAGTCATTGAAAATGAGGTCCACTATTTTTTAACTTTGGTACTGCGATTTTTTCCCGATAAGTTAATAAATTTCATTAAAGAGTGGCAAAAATGTGCCTGTATAAAATAGGTATACCAAAAAATAGAAAACCTTACTCTACTTGCAACAGCCTTATATTTTGAGCTAAGAGCTAATGTAGTACAACGAGAGAAGGGATTTCATGTGCCTTAGCTTTTTGCTTATTACAATCAACGATGCAAGTGCCTTCATGCAGAAATAGAATTCTTTAGGTGCTGATCTTAATTAGCTTAATTATTTAGTCACCTTGATCTCGCCTACTATTCTACTGGGGCTTGGTGTCCTTATCTTATGTTCATTAGTGTTGTGTGACCTACTCATCTCCTCACTTCATAAAGCTTTACCAGTTGCTTATCTTTTTTTTTTTTTTTTTAAAAAGTATCCATATGCCTTTTCTGCTCTGAAGCAGCATCTCTACTTCAGTTAGTGAGCTAGCTGCAACTATGGTTAAAAATTCAGTTGTGCAAGTGGCTTGTTAGTTGGCTTAATCACGCTTAAAGTCCTGTAGCTAAATGACCTCTTTGTATTTTGTCGCTCCCTGCACCTTCAGCCACTTCCTTGCCTTCAACTGATCGAATTTTAACTTTCCATATTATTTTGCTTCTGTTGCATGCAGGTACATTTTACTCGAGGCTGTATTCCCAATTCTATTTCTGAAATACGAGGGTAATTAAATTAGAACTGATTAATATTGTGAATTAAATTAAAAGAAGGCAAACTCTTACATTTTCAATATATAGGTTGGTATGTGAGGACATTTCTGGTGGACTGGAGGATATTCCTATTCCCGCAACCAATTTAGTTGATGATCCACCTGTAGCACCGACAGGCAAGTACCTATGTCTTGGTATTATGCTGTTCTGATGGCTTTCTTAATACCTCCTTCCTCATTAGCAACGACTTTCATGTTAAAGCCCGAAATCATTTTGTACCTATAGAAAATTTTGACTTGTCTGTACTATTAACTTTTAGCTCGATCTGAAGATAAGATAGCAGAGAAGATATAACGAGGCAGTTGTCTCCAAGTTGAGACAGCAGCCTGGAAAATCTATGAATTGGAAAATATCTTCTCTAAGCTTTATATTGGAGAATAAATTACTTATATTTGTGTATTTCAGAGTGCTCATTTTACTTTAACTTGTATAGATGACTGGTTGAGCGTTGTGAAAAGCCACCCTTTTCTCATGAAAAACTATTGCAATGTGTTAAATGCAATGGAGATCGGATTCGAGGGTAAGGGTTCTCTATGTTATATCCATCTCCTACCCACAAACTGTAGTGGTATTTCTCCTACACAGACACTCTTCCAGCCTTACATGCTTGTTTTAAGGTGGCTGGAAAGGTACTTATCTTTAAAGCAACACCATCTCCATCCTCCTAACTCTTTTCCATTTGTTTCCTTACTTTTTCTTATTACGTTATTTTGTCCAAATGATTAGGGTTTTTAATCTATCGAAGGAAGTTATGTTAAAAGACTTATTTATCTCTTGGTTTTCATACATATTTTGCTGAAAGTATTGGTAAGAGTTAGGAAATTATTAATGTGAAAAGTACCCATTCGTTGTATATAGAGGAAAAGGTTTAGAATCCCTATAATTGTGTAAGTAGGAATACGAATTATTAAGAATTACTTTCCTTTCTTTTTTAGGATTACTTGCATACTTCCCTTTCTGTTTTGGGATTACTTGTAAGCACAATATAAACCCCAACATGCTTGAGGGAATAAAAAAGCAATCCATTTTCAAATCTCTTCGTTCTTTACAAATATATCATAGTTAAGAAAAAGTTCATATATGCAATACTAATTTGTTAGCATTAACGGCAAGTTATTGTTACACTTGCATTAGTTTTGGTATTTGTCAAGATTATTTGTAGTCTAGTTAGAGTTTTGCATGTAATTACAAAGATAAGGTTTCATGATTATATTTCACGGAATGGATATATGGAAGATTTATATAGATGATGACAGCTGGCTTGGGATAGAGGTATAGTTGATTGATTATCTTATGATTAGGGTTCTGAATATTTTTGAGTTTTGAATTGCGATCATAGCAGCTTGGTTTTTGATACTTGATGAAGGATCCTGGTTGCACTTTCTGCCACCAAAATAGTTCACATGCTACTCTTGTGCCGTTTAAATTTGCATTATCGCGTCTCCGTCTTACCTACTGCATGAATCCTCCAAGCTTTATCAATTTCTACAGGAACTACCTAAATGTGTTTTCGTGTTCCGATTTTTAACTTCCCTTGATTCTTGTCAGTCTTATGTGCTTAACAAGGGATTTCTGATGGAAGTCGTAGAGTTAGTGGAGATATGAGTAAGTTAGTTGGGAGCTTTTGCTGTCGGTCTTAGACTGATTGAAGCTTAAATTTAGGCAATGTCGTGCACGTAAACATCTTGCCAATGTGAATGTATTGCTCTTATCCATTTGTGCCTATCTTTTTGACGTTAAAACTTTACACAACATTCAGGTTTCACTTATAGCAAGCATATTATATGCGCCAAAGGTATAAAGCTCCCTTCAGCTTCCACAGGATGCAAGTGTCGTGGTTCATGTCTTGATCCAAGAGTTTGTTCTTGCGCTAAACTCAATGGTTCTGATTTTCCCTATGTTCACAAAGATGGTGGAAGGTGAGTGCAGTATTTCTATCCTTTGTCAGAGTATGTTAGTTTAAATTAAAGATGAATTTCATTTTCCTTGTTTTCTAACATCCACTTGTGCTGCTAACTTTACATGTTTACTGGCACAAGAATTGCCTACTGTCGATGCATGATTATCTGGGCTTACATGCTATGTGTTTCCTTCTTTATGTTATTTGCACTTTGATCTTCTCTTTCACATATAAATAGTGCTCCTTTTCCTCTTATTGTCCTTTTTTAATTCTTGGTTTGGTATATCATGGGTGATGCCAATTGCCAAGCATTGTCAAGGAGTTAATGTTCATTTGGAAATGTGGGTCGTGGGATGAGGAGGACATGGCACAGGGCATGGAATGTTGGTCCACTAGCACTTATGTGGGTTATTTGGAGAGAGAAACGGGAGAGCTTTTGAAGGGGTAGAGATGATTTTTTATTGAGTTAAGGAGTAGCCGTCAATCCCATATTTTCTTTTGGCACCCATGAAGATCCTTCTTGTGTAAATGATTGGGTGTCTTTCATAGAAAAACCATGTCTTTTTGTAGGTTTTCTACTTTTTTGGTATACTTGTATACAAGTCGTTTTGGCCCATACAATAATGAAATGTATTCACTTTATAAAAGAAAGAATAAATATATTAAGGTCTCTTCGGAGTTCTTGGTGAATTAGCAAGGGTACCTCCTTTAACTGCTTCTTTTCCCATTTGTGATGAAAGTCCTCAATTTACTAATGGAGAAAAAAGTTGGAAGGAGGTTTTATCAGGGTATTCGTTGTACACAATAAAGTAGAGGAAGAATTTCTATATCTGATTGCTCTCTCATGATGCTTTATCTTTTGTGGGCCTTAGGTTATGCCGAACATTATTATGGTTCTATAAGCCCTGAAGATAGGTGCAAGACATGATATCTGCTTTCCTGAAGTCTCATTTAGCAGGTTCTTTAGTGCAGTCACCAAGACTCTTAAGGCATACGTATCATTGCCAATGGGCGTTATCCTGAAGAGCCATGACACGAAACAGTAAATATTTCTGATATAAGAACCAAGAATTCTTTAAGGTCCCTGGTCTATTATAAAAAGCATTTTCTGGTCCCTGTTATTAACTATTTTTGATTAATAGAACAAAAAATATTTCAAGGTCCCTTTTATATGTATATCACTTATCTCGTATCTATTTGGTTTATTATAGTTCTGATAGACAATTTACTTGCCCGTTAGCTCAGTGTAACTATATGAGATAACATAATGCAGTGTTACGAGTGTTGTTTAATTTGTGAGAAGTGTTGATTGGGCTTTGTCTGGTGCTTGACAGCAAAGTGCAGAGCTTATTAATGTTCTGTTTGCAGTTGACTTGCAATAGAATTCTTTTAACATGCCTTCTGTTTTCGGTATATTTTTCTCTGTAGACTTATTGAGCCAAAGGCTGTTGTTTTTGAATGTGGTCCAAATTGTGGATGTGGACCTGCCTGTGTCAACCGCACTTCTCAGAAAGGATTGAGATATCGGCTTGAGGTTCTTTCACTTGTCCATTAACCAGAGTTCAGATTTTTCTATACAGAAGAGTGCTGCATATTCATTTCTGTGGATGTTTCATTGTCAATGGGAACAGGTTTTTCGTACTCCAAACAAGGGCTGGGGTGTGAGATCATGGGATTATATACCTTCTGGAGCAACCATTTGTGAATACATTGGTTTTCTAATGAAGACAGATCATATTGACCCTGCAGCAGAAAACAACTATGTTTTTGACATTGATTGCTTGCAAACAATGAAAGGGCTGGATGGGAGGGAGGCAAGTGTTCATATATTTGAATCCTTAGTTTTCCTTTTCCGTTTTTCTTATTCATATACATTTCTTCTAGGATTAGCCGTATGTCGTTTTCATAACTATAGTCTTATTCTTATCATTTGCTTCCAGACATAAAATAAAGATTTAGCCATGTACAGATCATCACTCTTTTGTGCTCTCATATTTTTGGCTGTTGCAGTTTTCTCAGAGATCAGGAATCATAATAATAGCATTAGTGGGCATTGGTCCTTTAGTTTGTCTTTGTTTTCTTATCCATGTCATCTTCTTATGTTCTGTAGAGACGGTTGGGTGAGGTTTCTTTGCCAGGATATTGGCAGAAGGATGTTGAGAAGACTTCAGATGGAGGGCCAGAGTATTGCATTGATGCAGTCTCTGTTGGCAATGTTGCGAGGTTTATTAATCATAGTTGTCAACCTAATTTATTTGTTCAATGTGTGTTAAGCTCCCATCACGACATTGGCTTGGCAAGAGTGGTGCTAATGGCAGCTGACAACATACCACCTCTGCAGGTTCTTGCTGAATCTTTGTTACTCGTGTGTTTAATGAACTCAATAAAAATTATTCTTTTTGTTTCTAATTGGACATCAATGGTTAACTTGGTGTGGTAATGGAAAGTAGGGTTGTGATAAGAAGATTGTGATCCAGAATCATGGAAAATGTAAAAATATCAACAAAAGGGTTACATGAGATGGATCTTTTGGTGAGGAAGCAGTGAGAAAGCACTCCAGCTTTTCTAAAGGTTAAAAGGACTGCTGCCTAAAGCCCCTCAAAATCTTGAGAAAGTCTACTTCGGACTGGCTGAAAATACAACCTCTCCATGTTTATGCCTTCAGTTTGCACTATTATGAAGTTGAATAATGTGCTTGGAAATATTCATATAAAAGAAAATGAACCTTTATATACTTGTGCTGAATTAATTTCTAACAAGTTAGTGCTTCAAGATTAATAATTCATCTCACCTGAAACTCTGTGACTGGAAGCTGTGGCTTCCAAACTAGTGAACTCCTCATTGAAAGCTGTAGCTTTATAGTAAACTGTTTGGACCAATCAAACAACAACAACAACAACAAAAAACCCTGTGTATTCCCATAAATGGGGTCCGGGGAGGGTAGTGTGTACACAGACCTTACCCCTACCTTATAAAGATAAATGCTGTTTCCGATAGACCCTCGGCTCAAGGAACAGTGGAGTGGAGATAAAATAACAAGTAACAAACAATAGTAACAATAATATATTAAGTTAACGGTAGCGAACGACACATCATGTAATAGTAAAGAACCATGAATAAGATAATACAAAAATAATCCTATTAATACTGGTAAGCCTACGAGGAACACACTACTATCTGTCAACCTATAACCCGAATCTTCGACCAACACACCTCTATCGTGGGTCACATACTCGGTAAGCTAGAGCAATGACATGTCCTGCCTAACTACCACTCCCCACTACTTCTTAGGCCCTCCCCTTCCCTTCCTCATACCCGCAATGGACAACCTCTCACACTTCCTGACCGGAGCATCTATGTCTCTCCTTTTCACATGCCCGAACCATCTTAGCCTCGACTCCCGCACAACTTGTCCTCCACCGATGCCACTCCTACCTTGTTCTTAATAACTTCATTCCTGATCCTGTCCTTTCTGGTATGACTACATATCTATCTCAACATCCTCATTTCAGCTACTTTCATCTTCTTGACATGGGACTTCTTGACGGGCCAACACTCAGCCCCATACAACATAGCCGGTCTAACCACCACTCTGCAAAACTTGCCCTTTAGTCCATGTGGCACACTCTTATCACAGAAAACCCCCGAGGCGAGCCTCCATCTCATCCACCTCGCTCCAATACGATGGGTAACATCTTCGTCAATCTCCCCGTTGTTTAGATCAATCAACATGCTAGAAAAAAGGCTTCTTACTTCAAGAGAAGGAGAAGATGTCTGTTTGCCGGGTTTGGTGGAAGGTGTTTCTCATTTCTTTTCTTTCCTATTTTTAAGTGGGAGGAGCTTGTTGAAAGTGTTGGGGGCAGAAGTGCACAGGTTTGATTGTGTGATTCAGATCTAGCCTGACCCTTAATACTTAGAATGGTTGGATAAGAATGAACGGAAGATGGAATTTATCCCTTACTGAGCAATACTATAATATGAAAAACAGTACGAAGCAGCCTTTATACTATTAAATTGCTCATTGATTTGTTTATGTTTCCCTGTAGGAACTCACATATGATTATGGCTATGTGCTGGATAGTGTTATGGATCGTGATGGCAAGGTTAGACAAATGGCTTGCCACTGCGGTGCTGCTGATTGTCGTAGGCGTCTGTATTAATGGGATTTATAACCATTCTTTAGGTGTTACCTGTAGCATACATTACACATTTTTTGGGAATTTATATGTTGATTTCTCATCATCTGCTCTTCTGCGAAGTGGTTACCGAATGCTGCTGGGAATTTGCCCTAGTGTGCATCTCCCTGTCCAAATGAGAAAAGGAACTTGTTCTTTTGATTTCCCACTCATTGTGAACGTGCATGCTCTTGTTAAGTATATATTACCAAGTTCCTGTGACTGTCTTTAAGTAACGTGAGATTAAATTAGCTAGCAGGTCGATTTCTTTTATTATGTTCTGGTTTTCATTGTGCTGTAGATTGATTATCTGTCTTATCCATAGCATAAACTGAAGAGAAATGATGAAAAGTTCGGCACTGGAACTTATTTTTGAGTTTGTTTTGGGACTGCCCAGTTTATGAACCGCCAGCCTTTGACTTCTATAGAAGTGGCATGTCCCAACCCAATGCATTTTCACGTTGCATAAATTTAGACTTCAGATACTGAAATGAGCGAAAAACAGTGCAAAGATTGTGTGCGTCGCAAGTAATGAAAATTAACTGAAGTGACGCCTGATCAATACATTGATAGTTATGCTTCCTGTAGATGAGGTGTGTTGAGACTAGTACTTCCTAGTGTGTCGATCTGGAGGATAAGGCATTAGATTACACAAACAAATGTCTGAGAGGATCTGTCTGATTCACAACCATGCGAACTGCTTTGCGTTTTCATTTCCTCAGATTGTACCAATGTTATAGAGAGGCAAATGACTTGTGTTTGCAGTTTCTTTTCATTTTGTTATTCGGATGGAGGATGCCCCAAAGATCAATAATTGGTTGTTGTTGATAATGATTTTTTTCCCTCACTTAAAAACAAAAGGACAGACAGAACAGGTGTAGACTCTATCCAAAATGTATCACACAAAAGTGAAAATCAAGCATTGTGGTCGTCAATGTCCATAGTGGCCCTAGTTCTATAGCGTCTGCTGTGCTTCTGCAGACTTCCAGGTCTACTAGCTCTGTCAGCTGCTCATCTTCTTTCATCGCAGAGACTTGAGCATTATCGGATTTTTTTCTCACTTGCATTTGTTTTGCCTTAGCGCCTTTCTTACCCATGCGCTTCATTCTCAGGTTAAATGTGGAGGCAATTTCTGGAAATTAGTGGAGCTATCATCCTCCAGATGTGCTCGCTAAGAAGTCCATGTAGGCTTTCCTGTTGGATGCTTCATCCATATCATCTTAGGCATCAAGCGTATACTTGGAAGGTTTCCTTATATAATCTGGGTCGCGCGGATAAGCAAATTAGAATCTTCCTTCAACTTGAACCCTTTAGGAGAATATTGTGCATCATCGATCAGGAGGTGGCATGGAAGTGAAATGAGCGCGCATCTTCCTGGAGCCTGAGCTTGGCGGCCAGGTTAATTAGCGCGAGGATCTCTCTCTCAACTTCCTCAAGTGTAAGAGGAAACTCATGGTAGGTGCCCGTAGCCCCGCAACTGTTGCTTCTTTTTCCCTACCGACGGTCACTTAATTAATTTGTGAAATTCGTCTTCTTCCTCCCTCCTGGTTATAATCAGCGTATGCATGTGCTTCTTTAGCAGGTAAATAGGGCTGCCCTGCCGTCGGTTATTCTTTGTGAATTATGATAATTAATCCTGACCCTAAATTTGTTCATATTGGTATTGAATTTGGTATTGTATTAAGGATTTGTTTAATTATTTTAATTATAATTTGGTATTGTATAGATTTCATGGGCTTACGCGCTAAAAAAAATGCCTTATAAAATACTAATAGAAGGTTATACTATTTCATAAGGAATTAAATTTTTAAGACATTTTAAGTTATGACATTATAAATATCACCTATGTGAAATTAATTTGGTATTACAAACTTGAGCATTTCCCCTTAAGCTCAAATCTTTTAACATTTAACACCACAATAGTGAATACCATGGCATCTCAATCGAAATAAATAGAGTGTTAATGTTATTTATTTTATCTATCATGGTGCTATTAGACAAGAGTGGGTTGCTCTAGTGGCAGTGAGTTCTTGCTACTTGTCATGATTGAATTAAATGGTAGAAATGATACCAGATAGTTACGCTAAAGGGATGTTTTTAAGAATTAGTCGGTGCGTCCTGTATTTCAATTTTTCAGTTCAAATTCTTGGGATAAAAATATCCTAAAGTTAAAGATTTTTAGTTTAAAATTTCAGGACAAAATAAGTACCGACTAATTTTTAAATAACATTCCTGAGAATGACTATTTGTGCACTTGCCCAATTAAATGATATCTTAAAAAACTTTTAAGACATTTCAAAATTCATAATCAAGGGGAGGAAAATAAAAGAAGTGTTTAAACTATAACCTATAAAAATTAACTTGAGACCATAATTAAAAGAACTATTTTGAAATGTCTTAAAAGTAAAGAACTATTTTGTACTAGTTAATGCAATGTTAGAAGTAATGTATTCATTAACTAAACTGTTGGAATGGCTAAAGGGTGTTTTTGCCAAGTTGTTCCCCCGGGGGGTTGGGGGTCCCGGGGGGGNCTGTAATCTCCCAGGAAATCTTTGTGGGAATTTCATGTCCATCTTGTCCGCCCATAGCGACAATCACACGGCTTCCTCTTCTTCTTCCCCAAGCTCTCCAAACCCTAACTCCAATCATGGATCCAAACAGCAACAAGAACCCTCTCGCCCACTCGGCGACTCTCCCTCAATTTCCTCCGACAACTTCTCAGGTATTATGCTCTTTTACCTAATTCAACTCTGCCTATGTTATAATGTCATATTGTTGCATTTTTCTTGCGTCATACCTCTTTTTCAGTTGAGTTTTCCTTTTCCTCTGTTTGTTTTTCAAGGGAATGAGTACCTCTATCATAGTACTCTTCAGCTTGCCCAATGTAGATGTTTTCTCCATATCATGCTTTAGTTTTTGTTTTCTCAGGAAACATGGATCCTACTACATCACATGCTACTGGTGGATCTTCCAAAAAGGTAAAATTTTGCACTTTGCAACTTCTCTTCTCTTAAACCATTTAATTATGCAGCTCTTTCACAAATGCACCCCTTAGACGCTAAATGTCATGATCTGTTTTTTAACTCCTTATTTGTTCATCCCATTGCCTGTTACTTGGATGATTTGCGCTCTTCAAAATATTGCAGGTGAATAGCCTCAGTGCCAGTCAAGATGGTTTCAGAAGTTTGGGACGCCACAAAAATGGTAGAATCTCACTGCATGAACCAGGGAAATCAGCTGGGACGATTGATCCTTCCAGCAGACGCGACCATTTTGGCTCCAACAGTCCTCAAGGAATTGCAACGCGCTCAGCTCCAAGAAGAACCCAGATGGTTAGTGGCAACCACTTGCTGAATTTTCATTATGATCCCATTTCTCGTCCACAAACTAGGGCGCCACCTCCAAGGAGATACATGAAGAGAAAGCCTTACAACAAAGACTTGTTTCTCCAAGCAAATTACAAGTTTGTTCTGTTGGATTCAGGCAATTACACGCCTGACTCAATGGATCCAGACAAAATTTTACAATGGGAGGATATTGTTTGTGTGAGATATTCCACTCCATTTCATGTGCAATGCCCAATATGCTTAGAGGATCCTTTGTGTCCTCAGATAACATCATGTGGTCATATCTTTTGTTTTCCTTGTGTTATGCAATATTTAATGATCTACGAAGACGATGAGCATAAAGACGTTTTCAAGAAGAAATGTCCCTTGTGCTTTATGATGATATCTTCGAAGGATTTGTACACCATCCAAATTGAGAACGTTAAGCAACATCGTGTTGGTGATGCCGTAGAGTTTGTCCTTTTGACCCGCCACAAGGATTCATTTACTTTATCTTTGAAAAATAATGATGGCACTGGTGCTACAGAGGAGGTTCAGAAGTCCTTTTCTAAGTTCACATTTACTTCAGATGTCGACCTTTCTGTACGAGAGGCAATGTCTGATCTTGATAGTTGGTTAGCTAGAGCAGATTCAGGCCTAGTTGATGACATGGAGAAACTTCCCTTTGTCTGTGCTGCAATGGAACAATTGGAGCAGAGGAAGAAATACTGGAATGAGCAACACATTGCTGTCAAAAAAAACAACACTAGCAGAGACCATTATTTGGGAAAGTGTCCTAATGGATCTCTGTCACCAGAAAGTTCTCAGACCCCGTCTGCTGGTCAATCTACTCCAGAAATGCCATCCAGTCATCCCGCTGATAAGCTGATATCGCAGGAGAAATCAACTCTCTATAAGGCAATGAGGGACTCTCAGCTTATTCAAGCTGCAGATGCTGAATCAGTAGGAGATTGTGCGTTGACCTTATATGATAATAACAAGAGCCTACAGAAAGACAATAGTGGCGTTACAGACAGAGAAGAGATCAATTCCTACAGTTTCTACCAGGTGAATTTAATTGCAGATCATGTTTTTTGGTACCATATGCATAGGGGAGGAATGATTAAATAACCTTTTTGTGAGTAATTATTTTCTGTAAGTATGTGGAATTCAAGAGCGGGAAGGTGGGCGTGGCTTCCATGGAAGACAAGATGTGGGAAGTTAGGCTTAGATGGTTCGGGCACGTGCGGAGGAGAAGCATGGATGCCCCGGTAAGGAGGTGTGAGCGGCTTGCCTTGATGGGTATGAGTAGAGGTAGAGGGCGGCCTAAAAAGTTTAGGGAGAGGTGATCAGGCAGGACATGGTACGACTTCAGATTTCCGAGGACATGGCCCTTCATAAGAAGCTGTGGAGGTCGAGCATTAAGGTTGTAGGTTAGGAGGTAGGAGGCTAGTCTGATAGTGTTGTGTTTTAGGCTGATAGTAGCTCCTGTGTGTCCATAGTTTGATAGTGTTTTGTCTTGGGATGCTAGTGGCTCTTGTTGTGTCATTATTACTTCCATTATGTCTGCAGTGCTATACCTTTGTTACTGCTTATTGTTATTGCTTTTCTTTCTGCTGTCTGGTTATCACGTTGGTGTTATTTTTCTGACTTCCTTTGATGTTACAGCTTCACTGTCCTTTACTATCGTCGTGAGCCGATGGTCTATCGGAAACAGCCTCTACTCCGGAGGGTAAGGTCTGCGTACACACTAAGGGTGTTAATCGGGCCAGCCCGGCCCACTAACGACCCAGTTCGACCTGGTTCGGCCCGGGTCAGCCCGGTTCAGTAAGGGGTAGGACGGTTTGGCTAGGGTAGGGGGGTTGTGCCGGACGGGGTCGGGCCTTTTTTGGCTACCGGTGCACCGGAACCCGGCTAGCCTGCTA